TACAGAAGCTTTTTGGATACTTGATGCATCTGGGAATAGCGGGACACATCATTAAAATTAGGGTTAATATTCTAGACTAGGGTTAAAGACAATAATGCAATTAACCCAACATATTATCTACAGTACTATCCTCCCCATGGAGACTACAACGTTGAGATTTGATTTTATTTATGAACAGAATGGATCAGTTATAATCCTAAGGGATGGCTAACAATTTATACGTAAACATTTACTTTTTTGTCCATTAGAAAAACAATCGAAGAATAATTGTAACACAACTTTTTTTTTATCTTTTTTACCATAAGGCACGATGTTGGGGAAATCTAATACTGTTTGTACAAACAAGCTATTCCAATCTTTTGGATGTTTGGTTTTAAAATGAGATTTAATTGTAGTAATTCCTGTGTCTATTGAATATTCAGTTCGGCATATTTTACAATATCGTTTGTTATCTTCTTCGTCTATTACACTCCAAATAGGGTCTGTCTTTCATCGCTTTGATAGTTTCTCTGTTGTTTTAGATGATACTGATGAAACAACATTTATAGGACTTGAAGAACGTGGTGAAGTTACATATGATGATGTTTCCTCAAATACTTCAGGCTCGATAACATTTTCTTCATATTCGAACGTATTTTCATCAAATGATTCAAATTCATTATAATTTTCTTCAAACCATGCATTGTTTTCTTCTATACTTGGCTCTAAAATGTCTGTATTGTCAGCATCATAGTGATCTTGTTTTTCGCTTATATTTATTTATTATATTTAAGATTTATGAAACTTATTTTTAGACGAAAACACTATCAAGTTATTTCTAACTTAATAGTAAGGTAGTTTTATTAACTTCATAATTTTTTTTCATATTTTATATACATTTTATAACTATTATAACATCTTCTATCTATCTAATCAACTCTTTGATCTCTGATTAATACCTTATATTTGAGGCTTTAGCTATATGACGGAATGTATTTTATTTATCTTATTCTGATCTCTAAGCAATTTTTTTCTTAAGTATTCAAAACTAATAAAATTTGTTCTTTACCTTTATTTGCTATAATGACGGGTAGAATTGATTAGTAGAATTGATGCAGCTGCAGAAATTACGTGTCTTTTTTGTTGCAAAAAAACCCGCGAACTAAATTGCCATAATGGCATATTACCGCAATGCCATATTTACTTACTGTTAATTACTATGAATTTTATAATTTATCGCTATAGCGATGTATCGCTACCCTCTGATTAGCCTATAATAATCGGGGATCTAATATTCAAACTTTGCTTATGATTAGTAATCATTATGTTACTAATTATAAGTGGTGATGCATCGCTTTGGCAATAAATTATAAATCCCAATTACTATTTACTATTCAAAAATATTATTGTTAATTATTAGATAATATTTGTATGCTTACTAATTCTTTGGAGAAGTATTTTATATAGTATATAAGCGGTGGTCAATAGTAAATAGTAGATCTAAGTTTTTCATAATAGAAATTTTGTGAAATAAGTATATTTTTATAGTAAGAAATAGTTCATTATTATTTTTGAATTTTATCAAATCAAAAATCGATCTGATTTAGAATCAAATGCCTATCCAGATGCTTGTGCACTAGTAAACGTTTTCCGAGTGCTTGGTAAAGCAGCAATATAGTAATATGGCATGTAGCAAGTGGCTTTTGTGGTATTTAAAAGGCTATGCTATACCATATACTATAATACCGCAATTCAGTAATTTACCACTACTGTCAAATATAATTATGACCAATTCCAGATCCACTTTTTTAAGATGTCGATTTGGTCATGAGTTTTTGATCATATATTCTAATTACACATATATGCGTTTGTACGTGCTCACTATAAGATAATGCTAGCTTTATTAGAAACATTGCATGTACATACATGCATATGTATACTTCCTGACAAAGCTCATAGAGCCTGGATTTTATAAGTTTAGATTGTAGTCAGCAAGTTTCTTGTATAACTTAATGTCAGGTTCCGATTGTTATAATAAATTTAGATTATTTATTTTTTAATTCAATGAATGCAATGGGTACTTCAGAATTCCAAAATTTGGTATCTTTCAGAGATAACCTTGAACCTAAATATTTTATAGTATAAAACTATAGCAAAATTGGGAACTTACAGGAAAATGAACTAGGAAAAAATATACTTTCTCTCTAGATATATAATTTACAGTTCGTTATACAAGCAAAAGTTAGTGCCATTACTAGCAATACCGACTTAATTAAATTTTAGCAACTAAAATCAAAAAAAATATTTTTGCATATTTAACTATTATTAGCTAAAAAGCTGTATTATAAAAAGCTATTTAAACTATATATTCAATAACAAGTACTTATGATATATCAATATTGCGAAACAATATTCTGTAAAAAAATTATTTTAGTAATTAAGTTGGCACCGCTAGCCATTACGAATTCTGGCTATCAAATAGATTTGAAAAGTTAGAAATTTTGTATCTTGAATAAAGTTACAATAAATATTGAAATTAGAAACTTACTACAGGCTTTATATTTTTAAACATATCAAAGTTCGTATGGATTTTTTTTTTAATTGATTACAAATATAAAATTGGTTCATTTATAGTTAAACCTTGAGAGGACTCATAAAGTAATGTAAAGTTCAAGTCCAGACTAATTAGTAAATTGATATATTTTGTATTCATGTATGTACGTATAGTACATAGAAGAATTATTTAATATATAACTTACAAATTATGTATTGCATTTTTGCATCAAATTTAGAAGCATATTTAAAAGCAAGTTTTAAGCAGTATTAAAAGCATATTGCTTTAAGGGGCATTTAAAAGCATATTTGCTTTGAGCAGGTTTAAAGCATATTTGCTTTGAGCAGGTTTAAAGCATATTTGCTTTAAGCAGATTTAAAGCATATTTGCTTTGAGCAGGTTTAAAGCATATTTGCTTTGAGCAGGTTTAAAGCATATTTGCTTTTAAGCAGTTGCTTAAAAATTTATAAGCAAACTATAAAAGTTTGTGCTTTAAACCTGCTTGAGCAGGTTTTATATAAGCATTTTAACATCCCTATTCAAAAGAAAAAAAAGCAGCATTTGTAAAGATAATATCAAACACAAGAAAAGGCAGCCACTCACTAAATAGCTGCTTGTTAATACAGCTAGGGCAAGGAAAAATGTATAGAATAACTCCTGAAAAGTTTGACAAAGTTCTGCTTGATGAAAGAGATAAATATAGATGTACAATTAACAATATACCAAAGACAGCTCTAGACTGCTTATTATTACAACAACTAAAAAAATACAAGGTACAAGCAGCTTATATAATAAATAATAGTAATGGTCACCAAAGTAGAAAAGCCTTCATATACTTTAAACGAGAGGAGATCATGCTTCGTACCCAGTGATCAAACATATACTACTTCAATGAAAAGCTGGAGTGGTAACCACTAGTAGTAGAGTATGAAAAAGAAAACTACAGGAAAAACTGACACTACAGTATAACAAAGCAACACCAAGACAGAAAATGGAGCAGCCTAACTCACAAAGGGGAAAACAAAAGCTCAAGAACAAGAAAATATGAAAAAAAAAAGAGAGAACTCCCCTCAACAGAAAAAAAAGAGAAAGAAAGATTCTCTAGTAAAAAAGAAAGTATACAAAATAGAAAAAATGCTAATACAAGACCAGAAGTAAGCAAGGCACCTTTAGTTGAAAGAGACGAAAACAAGAAGAATATACATCCTCAATACCAACAAAAAGAGAAGAAGCAACAAGACAAAAAAGGAAAGAAAAAGAAAAGGAGAAAGATGACCCAATATGAAGTATACTGGTACAAATTTTGGACAGACTAGACAAGCTTGAAACCTAAAAAGAAATTTTCTATAGTAAAGCTGCAGGGGCCTCCCTTGCAGACTGCTCCTGAAGGGCGCCACAGGCATAACAACAAACAGAGCTGAGGTGTCCAAAAAAAAAAGAAAAGAAAAGGGAGCAACAGAGGACATCTTAGCAAAACAAAACCAACTCCCTCAAGCCTTAAAAAGAAATAGAGAATCAGAAAATCAAGAACAAA